GTGCATAGAATCATTAGACAAAATGGGATAACATACATTATACAAAGATTAACATAGGCCCAAACAATATTGTAAAATAAAGATATCGCTACATCTTTAGTTTTATAGCAAAACAGGATGGAAGATGTGCCATTGGATGCAATCGTTTCATAGCCTAAGCTCAATAAATATGCATTCAATACGAATAAGATTATAAGCGCTTAAACATTTCAGATGTCAGATTGGAAACAGAAACTTGCATGTATAATTGACTTGATCTATTCGCATTGTACATCCTAACTGTCTAATACTCAAGAATAAAACTGCAGATAATTAATGCCATTTTATTTTTTGCTATTTTGTGTTTATACCAGTGTGATCATAATAGTAGAGCGCGATCAACTGAAACGATTGTTAATAAAGATGCTGATGCATGAAAAGTATAGTAACCAAGAAATGCAATTGATTTACATAAAAATAATGAACTATCACTAATCTGTACACCCGTCAATTGACCTACAGCGTGATCTAAATTTCATTGATATAATAACAGTGTATCCACAATACACAGAAATATCAAATAAATGTTTGTTGAACTTTTGTGTTTTCTTTTAGCGGCTATGACGATCACGGACAGAAGATTATCAACAGTGCCGAATACAACTAAAGCTATGGATAATATGCCAGTAACAATAAATTCTGTTCGGCTCCATGCAGCTGATTTTTCCGGCACAGCCCACGAAGACATTGCTTTGCCAAATACAAACTCTAAGATGTTGTAAAGACTTTAAAATGAACCAATGAATACGTCAAGTGAAACTATGTTCTTTGTCTTTCATAAAACTATACCTGAGTGAATTGCAGCAGCATTGTATCATTACTGTTCNGACGGGTGTACAGATTAGTGATAGTTCATTATTTTTATGTAAATCAATTGCATTTCTTGGTTACTATACCTGAGTGAATTGCAGCAGCATTGTATCATTACTGTTCTGTGCTATTCTGCATATAAAAGCCGTTCTACTGAATGAATTTTCAAATTCTTTTAATATTTTTACTCTATATTTGTATATTCAGTTCTGAACGAAAGAACGCTTTGTTACTTAAGGAAGCCGTGATATTCATCAAACAAAGTCGAAAACTAATGTTTTTTCAGCTGATTCGTCAGAAAAGGCTCATGTTTTTCCCAACCAAATTATACAAAAGCGGGAGAAGTTTTAACTGAATTCGTAGCAGACTTCTTGAGCTACTCAAATATGTGCTTGGAATTGAAATTAAATGAAATTATGTCGATGAAATACTAAAAATACTGTTATAACAAACACTTTTCGGTTTTTCTGTGCACTGACATA